GGGGGGCGGGGGGGGGTCTGCACGGGGGCGCCGACCCCGGGGCGGGGGCGCCGCCGCGCTTCCCAAGCGGCGCACTATCCAGTGCGCCACCGGGCCGGCCTATTATCCCCATTTTAAAGATGAGGAAACTGAGGCACAGAGAGGTTACGTAATTTGCCTAAATCTTTGCAGCTAGTAGACAGAAGAGCAGGGACTAGATCCTAAGTTGTAGGAATCCAGACCTGGGAGGCTTAAATATGGCACATACTTCATGGAGGTCAGACAGCCAAGGGTGAAGGCGCTGAGGGAATGAGAGGGCACTCTGGGGTAATCCAGCATTCCTGGAGAAGGGAGCCGAAGGCAAAGACTGAAAGCAGGTATACCAACAGGGAGACCTGGGTTCAGTCCCTTGTCTGACATTGACTTGCTGTGTGATCCCTGGATGGTGTTTTCCCTTCTTTGGGACTCACTCCCCTCATCTGTGAAATGGGGAATGCTGGTGAGGCGGTTGTTGTGCAGGCGAGGGCCTCAGACTCTCAATGATTCTCCAGCATTAGGACCTGGTGGGAGCAGGAAGAACCCTAGGGTCTGTGGGGATGGGCCTGGTGAGCCTTCCCTGCCCTGCCTGCCCTGCCTGTCCTAGCTGGGAAGAGACTGAACCCTTTCCCCGCTGCAGCTCAATAGTCTGGCCTCCCGGCATTGGGTGAAGATTGCCGGGAGCCAGACTGTCCTTCCTTGGAAATATAAGCTGGGAGGGGCCTTCCTTGTATGGAAAGAGGGACGAGTCACCTGCAACCATTGCCTACCCCCCTTCCATGCTTCTCTGTGTGGCCCCTCCAGTTTGAGACCCTCCAGGCCCAGGCTGGGAAGCACGGGGACAACCTCCGGAATACCCGGAATGAGATTGCGGAGATGAACCGGGCCATCCAGAGGCTGCAGGCTGAGATTGACAACATCAAGAACCAGGTGGGGACAAGCCCTTTCCCTTGCTCCTGCCTGTTTGGGGCATGTGAAGGGCAGCCAGATGAGGCCAAGCTCAGGGTGAGCAGCAGGAGGCTGGAGGGAGGGTGTTGGTCCTGTCCTCCCAGGCCGGAGCTGGTGAGCTCACTTCTCATGCCCACTTGTGAGATCTCTAGGACAGAATGTTCTTGGCCAGGTCCTGGCATGGGGCTACTGGGAGGAGAAGAGTCCTGCCTGGCATAGAGCCTGTGGAGGGAGCCTCAGGCTGGCCGGCCAGAGAAGAACCACCATTAGTTACCGCACCGGTACTGAGCACTCTGCTTGCACCTAGCTCTGGGTGCAGGAGGCTGTACCTGGGAACTCACAGTCCATAGGGGAGACAGAGGCCACAGAAACCCTTACTATGTCTCCCAAAGCCCCTGACCTTGTTTCCCATGACTCCCCTCACTCACTCTGCTCAGCCACGCTAACCCACTTCCTGTATTTTGCATTTGCCAAGCATGTACATGCTTCAGGGCCTTTGCACTTGGTGTTCCCTCCACCTGGAATGTGGTTCTCCCAGCTCTGTCCACGGCTGTCCCATTCTCATCCTTGGGGTTTAGGACAGAGACCCCTTTTCAGAGGTGGCTTCCTTGACCACACAGCTACTGTATCGGCAGCCTGTCTGCGGTTGTTTGAAGTACCTATCATTCTCTGAAATGTCTGTCTTATTAGTTAAGTTATTGACTGTCCCCACCTCCACTGGAATAAACAGATGTCTTGAGAGCAGGGACCCTGTCTGTCTGGGTCACTGCCCCTACCTTCCAGTACCTGGCATATGGTAGGGGCATGGATCTCAGATGAGAGACTGACTGTGTGGATGCAATTTGCTGGGAGCAGGGATGGGGGTGTTGATGAGGGAAGGTCCCCCAGCCCTTGCTGAGGCACAGGTGTGGACAGGCAGTTGTCTGCAGTGGGGAGGGAGCTGCTTCGCAGATGAGCTGGGGGGTTGGAGGTGTGAGGTGGGGTGATTTACCCAGAAGTGTCCTCCCCTTGGAGCCCTGTGGGCCTGTTTACAGGAGGCTGGAGGCCGCCTCCTGGCACTGATGCAGGGCCATGAATCACCCCATAAAGTGGGCCAGCTTCCAGGCCAAGAGGGGAGACACAGAATAATGAATGGCAGTTTCCCAAACCCTGAAGCCTCTGCCACATCCGGTTCTCCTCTCACACAACAGGGCAGATCCAGACCCTGGAGTTGGGGTGTCTGCCACCATCAAGGGACCTCAAGAGGGGCTGGAAGGGACCTCCAGAGGCAGTGGGATGGCCTGGCCTGGGGCCACCAGTGTGACAGACCAGGACACTGAGCGGTGGCCAAGGGGCAGAGAGGCAAGTGCCTCAGCTGAGGAAGAGGATCCAAGGGCAGAGAGTGGTCAGTGAGAAGGGAGGAGGAGAAGCCTGGGCTAGGGGATGGGGATGTCTGAGCTGAATGAGGTGAGCCCTGGGACTAGACAGGCTCCTGGTAGTGGGGGATGAGCCAGAAGCAGAGGGAACTCTAAGGCCAGGCAGGAAGTGGCAGCTGCTCCAGGCAGATGCAGGTCCATGGGAACCAGACTGTTATGGAGACCCCAAAGAGCCATTTGCTCGCCACTCAATAGCCAATAATTGAGAGACAAGTGTTGGTGTAAGGAAAGGTAGCCTTTAATCAGGAAGCCGGCAGCCTGGGGAAATGGAGGACTTATGTCTCAAAGACCGCCTCTGCCTCTCCCAGGTTTGCCAAAGAATTTTATAGGGGTCTGTGGTAGAAAATTGATTCATGGTGACCAAGTGGGGACATGCAGACATGCTTGAGTGTTTCAGATAATCATTAAGGAACTTCCCAGGTGGGAGTTTACTAGAGCCGTACTTCATTCTCTATGGGCAGGTTAGTAAGTTAGTAAGGAATGGCCATCTGGGTTAATAATTTTTCTCTAATTATTTGTGTACAGTGTGAGAGCAAGAGTTATCATGTTCTGGCAATTAGCTGCAGGCTGTATGCTTTGGGTAACAGGAGAGAACAAGTTTTTAAATTCAAAAGTTTAACAAAATGGAGTTACTTCTGTTCAGGCTGTTACAAGACAATCTTTACCCAAACCCATGGGCTATGGCTTATCCACCCCATGGCATCAGGGGGAGCCTAGTAGGGTCTCTCTGCTCCAAGCACCCCTGTTCTGGGCCTGTTCCTAACTGATTTCTGTTTTTAAGGTAGTTTCTGGTCCTTGCCAGCTGCTTGACACTTGGGGACTCAGCTAGGATCCCATGCATTGGAGCTCCTCCAGCTGAGGGCTGGGGCTGGGGGACTGGGCATTTGTGAATCCTATTAGCAATTTTTAGTAATAGTAATCATAATAGCATTTATTAAGTACTTGCTGTGTGCTAGACATTGTGCTCAGGGTTTCTTGTGTATTATCTCATTTCATCCTTGCAATATCCCTGTAAGGGAGAAACTGTGATCATTGCTCTTTCAGAAGAGGGGAGACTTTGGCACAGAAGGGTTGATTTGCCCAACACCACATAGCTAGTAAGTGGCAGAGACAGAATTGGAACCTAGGCATTGGATATCCAAACCCATGGGTCTAACCTTAGGATTCCCTGGTACTTAGGGGAGTAGGTGGTGCGCATGAAGCCACCTTAAGCAAGTTGCCCAGGTGTTCACTGCAGGATGGGCAGGCAGGAAGGCAGAGACTGGTGAGCCCTGTCCCCCAGCTCACAGCTCCACTAATGTCCACAGTGTGCCAAGCTGGAGGCCACCATCGCTGAGGCTGAGGAGCGTGGGGAGCTGGCACTCAAGGATGCCCATGCCAAGCAGGAGGAGCTGGAGGCTGCCCTGCAGCAGGCCAAGCAGGACATGGCACGGCAGCTGCGTGAGTACCAGGAGCTGATGAACATCAAGCTGGCCCTGGACATCGAGATCGCCACCTACCGCAAGCTGCTGGAGGGCGAGGAGAGCAGGTGAGGGGTGGGGAAGCTGGGAAGGGGATCCTGGGATTCAGAGGGGTTTGGGCCTGTCATTCATCCATCTCCAGGTATTTCCTGTGTCCCCCTCTGCTGCAGGGCACTGGGGGTGGGAGGTGTGGGGAGTGCAGAGCTGATGCTTGCTTCTTTGCCTTCAATGAGATGACCTTCTAGAAGGAAAGACCACGTGGTGTAAAGCTCAGTGGGAAAGTGAATAACCCCTTTGTGTGTGGGGGCAGGGTTATTTTATTTGATCCTCATTCAGGTAAGCAGGTCAGATAAATTATTGATTCCCTAGTCTACAGAGAGGAAAGCTGTTGTTTAGTTTTACTGATTCAGGGAACAGGGCCAGTCTGCAGTAAAGGTGTGCTGAGTCCTGGTCTAAGCATCTTCCATGACATGGGCTGCTTCTCACTACATAACTAAGTGCTAAATCATGTGGCATTGATGAATGTGTAGAGGAGGAGAGTTTCCTCCGACTCCAGAGATATTCAAATACTCACCTGTAGGCAGAGAGGAGGCAGGGATGGTTAGTCTTATAGGGAATTCTTCATATAAGACACAGCATCTCTGTCTATGAAGTTGAGGCTGTTCACATTAGGTTGCTGGATTCATTCAGTTAACAGACATGGCTGTAGAATTGCACCTTGAGGGAAGGTTAGGATTTGGAGAGGATGAGAGGCAACAGCGCTGGAAAAGCTTGGAAATAGGACTCTTCATTCTTGCCTTGTTAGAATCCAACATGGAGATAGATAATGTGTAAGAGAAGTTTCTGCCCTCAGGGTGGTTGCAGATGGGTTGAGCACTCAGAGACCAGTAACTTGCATTTGTAAAATGCTGAGTTTCGGAAAAAATCCTGTTCTCTTCTGAGCATTATTCCTGAAGGGCTGGGGAGAGAATATGGAGGATGAATGGAGAGGAGAGGAGGGGATTGGGGAATGAGGGAGCACTAGGGAAGAGTGCCTGGACGCTGGGAAGAGGGAGAGGAGATACAGTGCATCAGGATCTGAGCCCCTGTGCACTGACCTGCCTCTCTGGGTTGCCACCCTGCCTTCTTTGTGGGAAGAGAAATTGAACACCAAAGGCCTCTGGGAAAAGAGAAGCTGCTCTGGGCACAGGGCGGCTCCAGCCAAGTGCCTCTCTGCCCCCTCCTTTCCCCATGGGTGCAGGGCCCCCCTTTCTTCAGAACCTATACCCTAGGTCCCCTTCCTCACAGAAGTCAGAGCCGGGGGACCCTTGGAGTGGGACCTGATGAGGAGACCGAAGTTCAGAGATGGTCAGGTCACACAGCAAGCAGAGACATCCCCTTCTGTGACAGCCTACTCTCAGTCCAGGTTGCTGTAATCAGGCTTAGATCCTGGTTCTCTGAGAGGAGATGTTCCATCCCCACCCCTGGGGGACAAGGAGATGGACACCTTGCTTTTATCCTTTAACTCCTCAGCCCTTCCCAGGGGCAGATCCAGGATATGTGGTCCAGAAACTCATACAAATTGGGGGACCTTCCGTAAGAGTATAAAATAAAATTTAAAAAATTAGGCACAAAAATAAATACTTAGAGAAAAGAAAAATCACTCAAATCACTAGAGCCTTGGGCATTCAGGCCTCTTCCTTCTGAGTTCTTTAGGCATTGCACTAGAAATTCTTAGACTTGCTGCCTGATTGCAACCTGGGTCCTCCTCCTTACCCACAAGTGCTGGCAACTCCCAGCACTTGCAGGGGCTTTTTGAACAAGGAGCCTGGAAGCTTCCAGCAAACACATCATCTTGCCCTTGGCCTTTGCTCCACTCTCTTCCTGGGCTTAGGGCTACTCCCTCCACCAAAGTGAGGCCTCCCTTAAGTCCTGCAGAGCAAACTGATCCCCAAGGTCAGGGGCTTGGAGACAGTGGGGCTGTGAGTCACAAAACAAACACACCCATTTGTCTCCCACAGATTTTTAATTTCCACTGCAAGAACTGTTTCAGCCCCACAGGCTGCTTAAAGTCACCCCACCTTCCCCCTCTCTCCTCTGGAGTCCTTTAGTCAGTCAACAATTCACTAATTATTTCAACATATATTAAGCAATTGCTTTGCCAGGCCTTATGCTAGGGACTGAAGATACAAGGATCAGTAGGCTACAGACACTTTTAGGATTTTATGATCTGGTGAGGGAAGGCAGCCCTCTACATAAATAATAAGTACAGCTACCATTTACCTAATTCTGGGTGCCCAGGGCTTTAGGTAAATGTTATTTAATCCTCACAAACAAGCCCATGACCTTAGTCCTGTAGTTAGGCCCAATTGCAGGTAGGAAATGGAGGCTCTGAGACATTGCCCAAGGTAACGTGGCAGGTAGGTAGAAAGGCCTAAGTGAACTCTCCCTTCCCCAACTCTTCCTTGCTCAATTCACAACAAGGCTGGGGGCAGGCTGGAAGTGTGGGGACCAGAAGGAAAGCACAAGCACCCTGCTTGTTCCTGCCAGGGGGGTGCTGGGTGTGCTTCCCTCCAGTGTGAGGGAAGGGCTGCTCTCACAGTCTGTCCTCTGTCCCCAGGATGGCTGGAGATGGAGTGGGAGCCGTGAACATCTGTAAGTCCTTGGCTGTGGCCCATGGGGAGCACCCCCTGTACTGTCCAGACTAGGCTGGGTCTGGAGAATGGTAGACTGGCCCGAGGGCCCTGCTTGTGGGGTCTGGGAGCCTCCTTCTGTTCTATAGCTTTGGGTGGGTCCTGGAGCTCACATCCAGCCAGGCTCAATGGCCCTCGGGGGCAGGATGGGGCAGGGAGTGCCTGTGGAGCAGCTCCCACCACTGTCAGAGGCTCCTTTTGGGTTGGCCAGTGGAGGGGTGGGGGTGCGGGGTGAGAAGGTAGGGGTGTAGGAGAGGGGCATCTGTGGCAGGAGGGCAGGGGTAGAGTGAAAGAGAGAAGGGATGGGTCCCTGGTGGGAGGCCTCACACGAATGAGCCCTCCTCCCTTCTCCCCCAGCTGTGGCGAATCCCATTGGTGGTGGTGGCAGTGGCAGCGGGCTGACCTTCGGGGGAACCATGGGCAGCAATGCCCTGAGCTTCTCTAACAGTGGGGGCCCTGGAGCCCTCAGGACCTATTCCATCAGGACCACATCTGCTGCCCGCAGGAGCACCCGAAACTGAGCCTCGGGTGTTGCCCACAGTCACAGGAGGACTCCCAGCCCTGCCTCTGCATCCCTGGTCCCAAGACTGTAAGATAGTCTGAAAAACAATGTCTGAGTAGCTTCAATAAAGCAGCCTCTTTCTGAGTGAGGCCTGGGTGATCCCCATGCCTGGCGCCTGTATCCTGGCTTCACTAGGCTGGGCAGGGTAGGGGACTGCAGAAAGCAGGGTCTGCCCTGATAACTAGGAGGCCTGTTGGGCAGGAGGCTGGGAAAGCACACGGTGCCTTGGGTTGCTGCTGTAAGGAACTGGACTCTTACCCAGTGTAAGGCTTGGCTTCCTCTCAGGCCTGGGGCTGATTCCAGTGTTTCTCCTAAGGAAGCCCAGAAAGGCCACAGGGAAACTCAGGCTCTGCCAGCAAGTGGGCACTGGAGTCCTCCCCTGCTGAGGGGGTGGGACGGCTGTTCACAAACCTCCCCCAATGTCCTGTGCTGTCAGAGTACATTCCTCTTGTGGTGAGAAGGCCACAAATGTTCAGCTGCCCCAGGCCTGGGTTTCGGGTGGCCCAGCCAACTCTCATGCCAGGTGCCCTCAGCACTTCCTGGTGCTGGGTCTGCCAGGCTCAGGGTTGGGCCAGGTCCTGGGGCCCTGGAGGGTGTGTGTTTCTGGGTGCCTGGATGCGGCTCTCTGTATCTGGTGTTCTATGGGGGTGATGGCGGTGGGAGGAGGTCTGTGTGTGTGTATGGGAGGGGGGTCCCAGAGTCTAGCTCCCTGGTAGGGAGTCTGTGCCTTGGTCCTTGGGCAGAGGAATGGGCTGTGCATCTGGATCCCTGGTGGTGGGGGAGGGGAGGAGGCCATCCGTGTGTTAAGTCTGTGCTTGATGGGACCTCTGTTAGGGTCTCTGATGTGGGGCTCTATATGTCTGTGTGAGTGTGTGGGGTGTTTTGTGTCAGGACCTGTGCATGTGGATATACCTCCCTGGTGAACAGCAGCACATATTGTGGGCACTGGGGAGGAGGTGGGAGGTCTCCACCCAAGGTGTCAGGAGGTCCAGGCCCTTCCCATCCTGGCTAAGGCTCCTCCGTTGCCCTTCCAGCTCCTCCTTGTGGTTCTGTGTGTCTGGGTTTGGGGGCTGTCGGCTTTGGGATGTGTGTGCAGGGGAAGGGGGAGGGTACCCATAGACAGCCCTCCCTTCCTCCATCGCCTCACACCAGGTGACACCTGGGCGGGAAGGCATCGACAAATGGGAGATTCTCAGGGCACATTATATGTGACCGACAGTGAGCTTTATTGGAAAGGTGGAGACCAAGCACGAGGGAGAGGCAGCCTAGGCAGCCGCGGAAGTTTGCTCCCTGGAAGACGCTGCCTGTCACTGCACGTGGGGTCAGAAGGTAGGGGAGGTACAGCGCACAGCAAGTCCACACGCGAGGGGCCCCGGGGCCAGTCTGTCCCTCAGAAGCCACAGGCGTCCAAGCCCCCCCGAGCAGCCTGAGTCTGGGTGGATCTTTGTCCAGAGCTGCGAGAAAAGCTGTCATTTGGTTACTTGGGGCCGGCGGAGAGCTGCCAGACCTACGGGCGAGGAGTCCGGCCCCCTGGGAAAAATCAAGCCACCAAGTGGGGAGACGGGGTGCAAAACGGTAAGGCGCGCGGCAAGGTGGGCTGGTCGGGCCACTGGTCCGGGTACCTTCAGAGCTCTGGGGCCGCCCTGGAGGAAGGGACCGTGGGCTCGTGGAGCAGCGTCTTTCCAAAGCAGAGGCACTAAGCGAACCGCACGGAGCGGCCGCTGCCGCAGCCCTGGCCGCAGGGCGCGCACATACCGGTGCTCACCGCCAAGTTCCCGCTGCAGGGGGCGCTGCAGGCACTGCCCGTCACAGGCCGGGAGCCCGACACGCAGAGGTCCCCGCACACGACCCCACCGCGGGAGCTGCTGACACCTGCGGGAGGAGGACGGGCTTAGTCTCTACCAGCCGGCTAGAGCCCCCTTCTCTTGCTCTTAGATCCTCCCCTCCATGTCTATCCGCTCCCCCTCAAACACCCTCCCACCTGGGCACTCCTTCCTGCAGTCTAAACTCAAGCATCCTGATACACTGTTAGCTCAGCCCCTCCCTATAGGCCCCACACTCTCTTTTCTTTGAGTCTGCAAACTGGCCAATGCTGGATTACTGTTTAGTAAGGGAAGTTCTTTTTGGAACCCAGCCATACCTATTCATTGAGTAATTGCCTATGGCTGTGGCTGCTTTTACATTACAAGGACAGAGTAGTTGAAACACAGATAGCTTGGCCCACAGACAATATTTACCACCGGCTCTTTAAGAAAAAGTTTGCCTGCCTGGAACCCCAAGCCCTTATTTCAGAACACACAATATAGATTACTTACAGACATTTACAGCACCAATGCCCTCACACAACCTGTGGGGAGAGCAAAGAGGCAGAAATTAGTCACTGGAGCAAACCTGATGAAATCTGTTAACCTGTAAATTCCCTCCTCCAAGTAATGTTGATACACATTAGATGTAATAATATGCAAATATGCTCCTGGCTCTTGAAGCACTGCAGCACTACATGGGGGGGGGGGATTGAAGAGACACACTCCACACAGGTGTGGTCCTCACCTCTGCTCCTCGCCCTCCAGCAGGCGCCTGTAGGTGGCGATCTCGATGTCCAGGCCCAGCTTGGAGTTCATCACCTCCTGGTACTCCTTGAGCAGGCAGGCCATGTCCTGCTTGGCCTTCTGCAGGGCACCCTCCAGCTCAGCCAGCTTGCAGCGGGCATCGCTGAGGGCCGACTCACCCTGCTGCTCTGACTGGGTCACAGCAGCCTCCAGCTTGGAGTTCTGGGAAGCAGGGGAGGGTTATTAAGGGTCCCTGTTCTAGATTTCAGGTTAGAGGTCAGACATCCACTGACCATTGACTAGCAGAGGAAGGGGCCTTACCCATTTGTTAGGTCAGAGATTGCAAATTAGTGCTCCCAGGAATGTTGGCATAGAGCCTTCAGTATTGGAAATGTAACAAAAATGCAGATTCCTGGCTTCTTTTGAAAGATCAGAGGATCTGGCCACACTGTACTTGCATTTCTGTGTGGCCTGCATCAGTTGGATCTGGTTAGCTCTACCCATTATGCTTTCTAGTTTGCCACAGTCCCTACCACATCCTAAAGCCTTGGGAACAGCCTGCTTCACTCATGTACTAACATCTGTTGATTTGAGTGAGTGATCACTGACCGAGAACAATGGGCCATACAGGTTAAATGGCTTTCCCAAGTACATGGTGAATTAGTGGCAAAGCTGGTTTGAGAGCCCAGGTTTCATGCCCCTCAGACTGGTGCTATCTCCTCAGTCCCTTTCTGCCGTCTAGACCAGCAAAGCCCTTTTCATCTCATTCCCTCTACACTGCTCCCCCACCTATATTCAGCAAGAACAGAGAGCATCTTCTGTGGAGGAGACTATCCTCCACCTTAATCCTTTCCCCCCACACTGGCAAGGTGTCTAAATTAAATCCTCTGCTATAGGCTAAGCCCACAGTCTTCCTACGCTGAGGGGTGGGCCGGGCTCCTGTACCTGGCACTTGGCGTTCTCCACCTCGGCCGTCAGCCTCTGGATCATGCGGTTCAGCTCATTGATCTCCTCCTTGGTGCGGCGCAGGGTCTCTCCGTGCCGGATCACCGTGGCCTTCATCTCCTCGCACTGGGGGGAAGCACAGATGCTCATGAGGCTCAGGGTGGGACCTCACACCCACTCAGAACACCAGGGAGGAGTGTGCAGGTTGTTAGTGCTCAGCCTGTGCTACCACACTTGGCAGTCCTGCCCTGCCACCCCAACCCCAGAGAGGCAGCCCTTCTCTTACCATCCCTGGGGATCTGAATCTCCACACAAAAGAAGCTTTTTCTAGTAGAGACTTTGCATCCCTCCCACTGCTGTGTCTAGGAGGCAGGTGTCCTGTGCCGCTCACCTTGCTGCGGTACCAGGACTCAGCCTCAGCACGACTGCGGCTGGCAACATCGTCATACTGAGCCTTGATCTCAGCAACGACGCAGTCCATATTCAGGTCCCGGCTGTTGTCCATCTTGACAATGACTGAGGTGTCTGAGATGTGGGCTTGGAGAACACGGATCTCCTGTGGGGCCAACAGCCAGTGCATTTGGTTTTGATGCCTGATCTGAGCCATATGCTACCCCTTTGGGGGCAGTGTCCACTCCCTGGAGGGATGTTACATGACTCCCACCTGCGCCGCCTTCATTCATACATAGGTTCATTATAAAGCAACAAGGCTGGAAGGGGCCCTAGATGTCATCTGGGAATAGCCTCTGACTTAACAGATGGGAAAACTAAGGTCCAGAGTGTGAAAAAGGCCTGACCCAAAGTCACCCAGCTGGGGAACTGGGTTTGAATGCCAGGACCAGTAATTAGTCTACTACTTAGGAGCCTTTCCCATCTGGGAATCCACCCGCCCCCCCACCTCACATACACACCTTCATATCTGTCTGTGACCGACACACAGATCAGTGCACAGGCACGCACATTCCAACACACAGAGCTGCTCACAGACACAGCAGCCCCAAACACGATATACTCCATATTCCTCACACACGTGAATGTGGATGTGGCCTAGGCACATGCAAACCCATAACGGGGAT